TAAACTACTAAATAAAAAAGAAAAAGTTTTGATTACTTGTTCGTTTTGCATGCGAAAATGCCGAATTGACCATAACGTTCATGTCTTACTATTGACTATGAAGTTGTGAGAGGCTATTCCAATAATGTATCTTACCATTTTGGTAGTGCGACGTACAAATGAAGTGACGGAAGCTCGTAGTATTTCTTCTGTTTCATGTGCTTTGAAAAAAATGGAAAAGTATATAAAGAGAGCATTTATGTTTAATACAAGCATGTCACAATTATTTTTGTCTGTCAAATTTCAAATTGGGTGGTTGTGTGTCATTTGTGTACAGTGAAAGTTCCAAAAAAAAAAATTTAAACTTTGTGGCACACTTCAAGCCATTCAATTTAACAATTAACGACTAATACCAATTGTGACCCCCTTTTAACAAGGATAAATAGTGACGTAGTATACAACCTCGACAAAAAACTCTTCACGTTTGAAAAATCTAACTATACATCAATGGATTACAATATTTGATACACCAAAGAGCATTCACCGTACATTTCCTATGCCTGGACGGCGAAGATTAATTGCAACTGCATTGATGGTCATTCGTTTGGGCATTGTTGGTGTCAATTATCAGTTACAAGGATGCAAGATGACTGTTATGGTGAACCATATGCCACGTCAAAGTGGTGTATGATAAACTTGGGTAAAACTAAGTGGAGGTCCAAACTTAACGATGTTGAAGAATCAGCACACTACACCCCCAACTTTCTAAATCCGCCATTAATTAAAGAGAAAGGTTCGTCTTTGGTGTACAATACCTCAAGGGCACATTTGGTTCATAGGAAATCTTTCTCCATGAGAGAGAATTTTCACTGGACAATTCCCATGTTTGTTTCATGGCATAGAGGGAAAGCGGCAGGTATAAAAGCACCCAAGGTGCAAGTCGCTATGCAGGTGCTATAATGGTAAATCAGATCCGTACCTTAGGCGGTATGATGCTGATTTCTCATCTTGTAGGAAATCTCTCTCCTGGAGAGAGATTTCTGGAATTGTTTCTTACAAACCAACCATGCTCTTAGGGTTTAAATTTGGTTGGTCAAGGGACTATTGGAGCATTTGTGAGAACCTCTAACTTGGAAATGTGTGTCACGTGCCTACAAGTACAATATGGTCTAGTAGTTACATGTGCCCAGAAATTGGAGGACCCAAAGAACAGTACATGTCCTTAGAACATGAATGATCTAAGGACTTTGGTCTATTTCTTCCCCTCATCTCTCACGTTTGTTTTTTGTTTCCTTAACCGAGTAGGTTCATGAGAGCCAATTGAGGTAGGTAAAATAATTCATCATCATGATTATCCGAGCTTTATTCCAACTATTTGATGTCGGCTAATTCCATAAAATAACTACAATATGGTCTAATAGTTACATGTGACCAAAAATTTGAGGACCCAAAGAAGAGTACATATCTTTAAAACATGAATACTTGAAGGACTTTGATCTATTTTTTCCCCTCATCTCTCACGTTTTTTTTTTTTTTCCTTAACCAAGTAGGCTCATGAGAGCCAGTTAAGTTGGGCGAAATAACTCATCATCATCATTATCCGAGCTTTATCCCAACTATTTGGAATCAGCTAATTTCATGAAATAACTACTATATTAATTGAAATTTTCAAAAACTACAATTTTTAAAATATTCTATATCATAATAGCATGCCACGCTAGCCCTATACTCCATGTGCAACCATGGAATTAGGCTTTCAAAATTCCTTTGTTTTTTTGTGGGTTGAGGATCTCTTTCACAACAAAGATGATGAGCTTCAGATTTGGTTAGGTGTTTCCCAATACTTTTGAAGAGGGCTTGCACTTATTATCACATTTAGGGCTTTAGGAAAAGAGCTTGGGCTTAATTGGTTAACGCGTGACGATTTGCAATGCTACGTCATGAGCTCAATTCTTATAAAAAGTAAGGGCCCTCTCCCCACTCACCAAAAAAAATGTTTATGGCTTCAAAATATATTGAGTGACCACATTTGAGCTAACCAAAACCCAACCCCCTGCCAGCCCATTAACTATCCCAAACAAGTATAGAGAGAGAGACACGCAAAGTGTTCCATTTTGTCTTTGTAGAGAGAGAGAGGGAGGGAGAGAGAGCGGTGGTCATGTGTCACCCAAGTGATCATGTGTCATCCAAAAATTTCAAATCGTTAAACAAGTGAGTTGGAGCACGAATACTATGCTCCTATAGGAGTATACTGTATGCTGACAACTCGGGCAGAAGATTGATCCGAGAAGATTTTTTTGATCCAAAAGGAGATGGAGAGAGAGCAGTGGTCAGGTGTCACCCAGATATCTCAAATCATTAAACACGTGAGCTGGAGCGCTAATATTATGCTCATATAGGAGTATATTGTATGCTGACCGACTTGGGGAGCAGTTTGATTTAAAAAGATTTTTTTTTATCCAAAATTTTGAGAACCACCTAAAAAACAATAAATGATTATATTCAAAAGAAAATTTTGAATTTTGATTTTTTAGATCTCACCTTTTAAAAATTGGGTGGCTTCTATTCAAGCCATAGATAATACAATTTGGAACCCTTTTTTCCTTTGTTTTTTTGAAATATAGCATATAAGCTGAAGAATTTATGTCTCTGGAAAGCCTTAAAAATGGGATTGTATACAATGAGACTATTTGTCTTTAATACAAGGAGATCATAATTACTCACAAATATTGAATGTGAAATCTAATAACTTGAGTGAGTCACAAAGTTTGAGTATTTTATTTTTTGAACCTTGAGCTCGGTGAATAAAATAAATGCAAGTACCCAATTTCATATCCAATAGTCAAGATTGATTGCGACCACCTTATATCAAAGGTAAATGTTATATATATTTCCCTTATAAATAGTGTTAGATTAGTGCTGCTCCATAAGTAAATGAACAAAATGCTCCCTTGGGAACTTGAAATCTTTTGATATTTCGAGCTGTTTCTCTTTCCAAACCGCCTATTCCAATTTCAAAACTCCCATTCTTGTTCACTTCCTAGCTTCAATGCACATGCCAAACGGACGGCCCCCGTGACTCACACGTGCATCAAGCATGGAAAGTGAATTTCTCGCTGGCGAACATCGCCGAAAACTCGGTTTTTTCGCATTTTAATGCAATGATTGACTCGGGGACTGGGAAGCGTTCTCAGTTTTGACGTCGATCATAGATCACATAATTTACCCTTGACTTATACACCTAAATATAAATAAAATAAATCATTTTTTTCCTTTTAATAATATGCTTACTACTAGACTTACTATTGATTTTCTCTCTCTAACTTCTCTCTATAACTTCTCTTTCTCTCTCTAAGTTCTCTGTCTTCCGAGTCACTCTTTGTCAATCATTGCAACATATTTTAACCACTTCCCACTTACGCAAGATGTTTCAAGCAGAGTAAAAAAAAACATGAGTGAGAATTTTTGTATAAAAGACCAAATTACCCCAAGTGTTTCTAACAATGACTCTTTACCCTTAGTGACATTTTCAAAATTACCAACAAGGGTAGAGCTTTTCCTGGTTGAAGCCCTAATTTGCCCCTCTAGGAACTAGGTTTTTGATTTGGATTTAGCTTGAAGATGTAGGTCCATGGGTTGCAAGATATTTAATTTTAAATCTTAAAAATTTGTCAAAACAAATACCACTAGTTACCACCATTGACTCATGTATAAGGGGCATTTTAGGTAAATTTTATAAAAAAATGGACTGTCTATTAAGATATTATTTATCTTTTGTATATAAAAGGTCAAAATCATTCTCACTCATTCAGCGGATGTCAAATTGAATGGCTTGGAGCGAATCATCAGGTCCCAGAATATTTTTTTTTAGAAACTTATTCAATGGCACTCTTACAGTGATTTATTTTGAAATATAAGAAATATAAATGATTATGACCTTCATATACATGTATAAAAGATAAATAGTATCTTTCTAGACAATCCCTATAAAAAAAACCGACTTTATATGTGTTAAATTTCTTAATAGGGTTGGTAACAGGCCAAATCAATAAGCTCGGCTCGGCCCGGCCCTCAAAAGGTATGGCTAAGGCCATGAATTGTTGCCTGAGGCTACTGCCTCCGTGATTTGGTCCGGCTTGATCCTCTTTCTTTCTTTATCTTTTCTTCATTTGTATTTTGCCCAGCTGGCCTAGGCCAGCTCATGGGCACAGGACCTGGTTAGGGGCAAGGGGGCTGTTCTTTCTCTTGAAGCTAAAAAAGCAAGGTCAGTTTGCAAATTGAGGGGAAGAATGGTCATATTTGTTAACGAAAGGTGTTATTCTCATTACCACAAAAAGAATATAAATTGGGGAAATGTTGGGGAGCATTTAAGTCATTCCAAAAGATTCAGTCTGCCCTATTTTGCCCTTTCCTCCACATCACTGCACACCATGTGCCCGCCAACAACGATCCAGAGACACTTAAAAACATTTTAAATTATTAAAAAAACATTTCAGCACAAATAAAATAAAAAATAGAAGAAGGAAATACCCAACCTTGCTTGCACTGTTGATTTTCCTTTTACTAATCCCCTTGCTCTTTCTTGTCTCTTTACTAATCATTCACCATCATATATCATTCCTCCCATTGAAAAAATTTCAATAAAGTTGCCCCTGCATCTCTCTCTCTCTCTAGAGCTCTCACTTTCTCTCTCTAGATCTCTCTCTCTCTCTCTTTCTTTCCCTTTGGTAGTTAAGTTTGGGCCCCTCTTGTTCCTCTCTCTCTCACTGAAAGTTCCTTGAGTTGGGTCTCTCTCCTCTTTTAATTTAATGGGGTTTTTCTCGCTCTAAAAAAGTAAGCCTGTGTTGGATGATTGGGTTTCTCTCTCCTAGTTTAATTGGGCCACTCTCTCCAAAAGGGCCGTTTGTGGGGTCTCTTTGTGTGGGAGATTGGTTGGCGCCTCCCTCTCTTTCTCTCACTAGAAAGCTTTCTCTCTCTAAAAAGCTTTTCTAGAGAGAGAGAGTGAAATGGTAATTACAGAGGGGACATGGTTGGTTTGACGTCCAAGCACCGGCACGCAGCATTGATCGCGGGGTATTTGAGCCTAAGGTCAACATTCCTCGCCTCATACCGCCTTATCAGCCGGACCCTTGTTCCCTTCTCTATCTCTCTCTCCTCCTTTCACAAGCTTTCTCTCTCTTCCCCTCTCCTTAAAAAGAGAGAGAAACCAACTGAACTCTCCCTTTCTCTCTCTCTCTGAAAACTCAAGCTTTATATCTCACTTACAGGAAAACCCACTTTCACTTTTTGACGCCTTCTCTCTGGTTCGGGAGAATTGCTTGAGGAAGACAACTCTCTGGTTTTAATGGGTGCCTGGTTCTATTGGGTTCCATTTCATTGAATTAAGTGCATTTACTCGCTCGAAACCTTGGACTTTGTGTGTTCAGGGCTCCTTCTCCTCTGTTTTAGTAAAACCCGTTAGCAAGCTCTGTGTTTGTCCCTCTTTTCCTCTCACCCCATCTCTGTTTCTCTATTCTCTTTCGCTTCCTGGGTGCCTCTCTTCGGCATACTCTTGTTCTTCTTCATGGAAAAGGACAAGTTCCTCATCAATGGCAGCCCCCCATCACTGAATTACAGACACCCCTCCTCTTCTTCACCTGACTGGAACTCAGCCACCATGAGAATGCAAGGTGTTCCTGCTTCTTCTTCCTCAGAGCCATTGCCCTCATCTTTCCTCAACATTAATTGGGATAGCTCCATTGACCAAAGCGTCCCTTTCCATTCAGCTTTGAGCTCCATTGTTTCCTCTCCCACCTCTGGTCCCTCAGTTCCAGGTGACAGTGTAGTTATCAGAGAGTTAATAGGAAGGCTCGGAAGCATATGCAACAATGAGGAGATTTCACCTCAATCACAAGCTTTTAGCTCGAATTGCTACAGTACCAACACTTCTTGTTATAGCACTCCTCTGAATTCTCCCCCTAAAATCAATCTTGGAGTGGATCACCAGGCTATGGGATCCATACCCATTCCTCCAAATTCTCTCTCTACACCTCATAGCTTAGCCCAATTCTCTACTGATCCAGGATTTGCAGAGCGGGCTGCGAGGTTCTCATGTTTTGGTAGTAGGAATTTCAGTGGAATTGGGACCCAATTTGGGTACCAAGATAACGAGCACCCCTATAACAGAGCATTAGGCTTAGAGAATGGTAAATTGTCTAGAGTTAGCAGTAACCAATCTCTCAGGAATGGGGTTTCAATGGGGGAGAGTAAGGAATTTGATGGGTCTGAAACTGAGTTGAAAAATGGAGAGAGAAAGATGGGCAGGTTAGTATCGCCTGTCGTCTCTGAGGAAGTGAGGAACAGGAATAATGGGAGTTTTTGTAATGAATCTGATGATGCTGAGATTAGTACTGGAAGAGAGGAATCATCAGCTTCTGATCTGATTACAGGTGTGGAGAATGGAGCAAAGAACATGAGTGAGACTACTGGTAGAAAGAGGAAGGCGATCCCCAAGGGAAAACCCAAGGACCAGCCCTTGTCTCAGAATGGGAAGGACATCAAGGTTCTCTCTCTCTCTCTCTCTCTCTCTCTCTCTCTCTCTCTCTCATGAATTGTTTGACTAGTAACATTATTTACCTGTAGAAATTTTCTTTATTGTCTTGTCTAAATTAGACTTGAGCTCAAGGCCCCTGTTTTCGCATGTAGGAATGCTTGTCTAGGTGTTCATCTTGGTTTGAATTTCCTTCACTTGCTTAGATTTGGGCAGGGTTCTTTGAACTGAATCCCACTCCCCCCACCCCACCCCCTAATTTAGTTTAGAGCTTTATCTCCTTCTCTCAAATGATTGCTGTTCTTGCTTATATTTTTGTCAGGTCTCAGGAATTCTTGAGATTTGGTGTTTTGAGCTGAATTCCAACCCTTAATTTTGTTTAAAGATTAAGTGTTTTTCTTCGTGGAGTTGGTATTTAAGATCTCTTTTCTCAGCAAGATTTAGTCTTGGTTTCTTGTAATTCTTCAAAATTTGGTGCCCTGAGCTGAATTTCTTACCCTAGAGTTTTGAGGGTTTGCTTCTCTGTAGGAAGCGCAAACTTTCTCTTTTATTGGTCACAGCAGTTTCAGTTTCCAGATGATTTAATTTTTCAATGAATCTCAGTGTTTCTAATGCTCGAATTAATAGAATGTTAATATTCCTTGAATAAATTAATTTTTCTCAAAAAACAGCTTGCTGAGTATGGCTCAGCTGAAACCATTTGATATACCACAAAGAGAAAAGGAATAAAAAAGAATCTCCTTCCCAAAGAGGATACATAAATCAGAACTGAATTTCAGCAAATTCTGAATTTGCAGAATGCGGAAACTGATGAATCAAAATCTAAGAGAAGCCGAGATGGCAGCGCTGAAAAGGAAGATGTAAAGCCAAAGACTGAACAGAATGGTGGTTCGAGCTCTGGAGATGGTGGGAATAAGCAAACAAAGGAGACCCAAAAGCCTCCTGAACCACCTAAGCAGGATTACATCCATGTTAGAGCAAGAAGGGGTCAGGCCACTGATAGTCACAGCCTTGCTGAAAGGGTAAGAAGAGCTCTCAATCTCCAAGAATAACTATATGAAAGAAATTGTTGGCCTTCTTTTCAAAATGTAGTGACATTATTCTTTGCCAGGTGAGAAGAGAAAAGATCAGTGAGAGGATGAAGTTTCTGCAAGATCTTGTTCCTGGCTGCAATAAGGTAAAAACATTTTCTAAGCTTCTTCAACTTTGCCCAAAGTTCAAAAGATAAAATAAATATTAAAATACAGGTTTTAAGATAGAACTTCTTTAGAGGCCTTATTGATTAAAATTCTCTCAGGTGACTGGGAAAGCAGTTATGCTTGACGAGATCATAAACTATGTACAATCTTTGCAACGCCAGGTCGAAGTATGTTTGAAATCCCATTTGTTAATTTGCATGACTCCCATGATCTCAGGTTGTTAGTTGAAGAGGAAAATTATTCCTAAGCTTATATTTTTTTTCTATCTTTTTTCCAGTTCCTTTCGATGAAGCTTGCAACCGTAAATCCCAGACTGGATTTCAACATGGAGGGGCTTCTCTCTAAGGATGTGAGTTGTAGTTATTCCCCTTGGACTGAATTTTGGTTCTAATTCCTTTCAGTCAAAAGGAAAATCTTTTCTGTTTTTTTCCCGTCATTTGTCCAGTTTTTCTGAAAATGGTTTATTCTCTGAACCCAGATGCTTCAATCAAGAGGCGCTTCACCTCATATGGTGTACCCCTTGGATAGCTCTTCAGTATTTCAATATGGTCACCAGCAAAACCATGGGCCTCTTCAGAGTGCCATGTCTGCTGGATCTCTGAACATGCAGATACCCGCTATTGATGGTTATGCTGATGCTGCATCTCAGGTAACTCTCACTCTCTCTCTCTCTCTCTCTCTCTCTCTCTCTCTCTCATTTAAGAGATGGTCCCTAATCCAGACCGGAAATTAATAAAATAATCTGGTTCTCAGTTTTCAACCATATGGGATGATGAGCTCCAAAGTGTCGTTCAGATGGGTTTCGGGCAGAACACATTCTCAACTCAGAGCTTTCATGGTATGAAATTGCTATTTATAATCAGCAATTTATTTGGTGCTTCATTCAAAAGTATTTTTGCTTAGCAAAAGAAAAAAGGAGATAAAGAAATTGATAATTGCAAAGCACCTATTAATTATTAAGGAAAAAGAAATGAAAGAAGAACAAACAGTTTGATGTTGTAACCCTACTTATTCATGTTCTGATTATTCATTCCTTACAGGATCTTCAACATTGCCTGCAACGCACATGAAAATCGAGCTCTAAGGCTCTCTTCACCCCATCTGCGAATTTTAACAAGGAGCTCTGGTTCAAAAGGAGCCGTGCCTTCTGTATATATATGGAGATCTTGGAGTAGAAAGCGAATGGACCTCAAAAATACTGATCTATCCATGAGGTCCAAGCCATCCTCCTGTTAGAGATGTTTGCTTCGCTCTTCAGTGACCGATTCTTTTCACGATTTTTCAATGTAAAATCATTAGACTAATTTCAAACTGTGGTGCTAAGAATATATGCCACCACATGTAAGATGTAATATTTTTAGAAAGGAAGAGGGCTTAGCTTCTCATCCTTATCGGACCCCGTAATATGTTGCTCTCTTTCAAGATTATTATTAATTCATTGTGATCTCGGTTATTTGGCCTTAACTTTCGCCGCATTCTCTCTATAACTTCTAGATTGTTAATATGTTTTTTAACACAAGTCTCTATCCTTCTCCAGCTGCTGAAGTCAGTACTAATTCTCTATGATTTTAGGCAAATCGGTCTTGGCTTTACCTCATTCTGTATCTAATTTGTCAAATGTGAATAATTTTTGAACGTACAGTCTCGATATTTCTCAGCATATCAGCTGAAATCATGGAGATTAGTCTTGATTCTTACTTGTAACCAGCTGTGAAGTGGGGCCATGTCTGGTCCCCGAGTCTTGCGATGATTAGGCCAAATGTTAACATCCAATGTATATCTGGTTTCCACATATGGAGGCTGAGTCAGTACTGAAAATTCACCTGTACTTTTCATAGGCCCAACTAATTGAAGAAAAGGTCATGTCTAATGTCTTTGCCTCCCTCATGTCAGTTTTCTTGGGTTTGCACCATGTTAGATCAGACTGAAGCTGGCAAAGCAATAGGTCTTTTATATGTGATGAGAATCTAAGTGCACAGCTTGCCAGTTGTGGGGTTGACTAGGCCCAATGGAGAAAAAGGCTCCTTTGCCAACTGATGCCTTCACAGTTAAGTGAAGAAAATAGTAAAAAGAAATATGGAGGGCGGGCTGTTGTGGAGATGCTCTAAACTGGGTACCACAGATTTGGACAAGAATCCAGTCCCAAGCAAAACAATTAGCCCCAACTAATTTAGCACCTCCTTTTGAATAGGAACCACCAAATTTGTGGACACTTCAAGTCAAAAACTGCAATGACTTTTCTTTGACAGTTTTTACAGTCTGTTACTTCTCTCTCTCTCTCTCTCTCTCTCTCTCTCTCTCTCTCATGCTAGTTGGGTTACATGTTGAAAGAGAATTCTCTTTTTTTGGGGGGATAATTCAGTGGGGAAGACAGGCCCCTACCCAGTTTTTACATTTAAATTACAGAATTAGCTTTTTTGAAGGTGTCAGCGCGGGTGGTTTCAGTAGGATTGGAAACCACAAAGTGGTAACTAGGTATGGGGTTGCTACCACCACGACCTCACCCCTTTCCTATAGAGAATTCTCTTTGGGTATGAATAAAGGCATATCAATGAGTCTCTCTCTCCACAATTCTAATTGGATGGACATGTTGAGGGAATTTCTCTTTGGGCATGAATGCTGTATGGAAATGTGTACATAGACACAATATGTGTCCAAGGAAGCATAAATTCATCAATATATGCTACAATCTCATTGTGTAAGATTCTGAAATCTCATTCTTGGGGCATAATTAATGATGCTGTGTAAAATGGTCAACAGCCAGGAGTCATGCAATCCTTGTGTTTTACTGCTGTAATCATTGGCTCCATAAACCATTGAAATTGCATAAGAGAGAGAATTTTTTGTTCTCTCTCCCTCTCATTCACTGAAACAAGCATATCTTTACTTTTAGGTGGGTGATCTCAAATACATCCTGCAAAAGGAAGGCAAAGCAAACACAGGCTGGTAAGAATCATTGGTTTCAACAACCATCTTGATTAACTGTGTGTAACATCCCTTTCATCTATGAAGCATAAATTTACTTGTCAGAGTGGAATCCATATTTCTCTCACACAGATTTAATGATTTTTGCCCTTGTTGGTCCACTGATTCCTTCATGTCATTGAGGACAAGGCCACACCTTCTTTCCTTTGGGGTGTCCTTGACAAGATATACCATCTCTCTCATTTTGGGGTGAATGACAAAGTTTGTGCTTGTGGGCTGTCTTTCTTTGCTCCTTAACTTCTCTAAGAGAATTGGACAACTGAACAATCAACTTAAAGTGGGTGCTTCCCATCCTCTTGACATTTATAGCAGAAAACCTGCTCTCTTATTCAAAAAGCTGTAATATTAGATTAGATTGTCCATAGCCACTAAAATTGAATGCGGACCCAATTGAAGGCCCACTGAATTTTAGGCCTGAGATTTGTTTTACTAAATATCTGTCCTTAAGAATGTTTTCGTGTGACTTGTTTATTTCTGTTACTCCAAAGTTTTGTGATTGTTTTCATTTTAGAGTGCCAATCCCTCGTTGACATGCTTCTCTCTCATCATCGTGCCCGTCAATGTGCGATGGGGAAAAACCATACAAACTTAATTAATTTTGCATTTCACGTAAATAATTATCTCAACCATCCGAGCTAAACCTCTCTCTCTCTCTCCCTCTCTCGCTCCCGCTCTCGCTCTCTGCACACGCACACATGATAAACAAATGGCAAGTGGATAAGAGCCTTAGGACTTGCCCCAGTAGACACAACAGAGTCCCAAACTGAGTGTGACATTCCTCATGGCATGTTCTTTTTATATGAGGTTCAATTATATGGATTGTTGTTGCGCACACGCGAGTGAGTGTTTTTGTATGTGTGAGAGAGAGAGATGCTTGAAAAGCTGGGTCAACCAGTCAGGACTCACCCATGTTGAGTCGGCTTTGGACAAATGGAAGCAGCCCCAACTCAAGCCAGGTGGAACTAGCATATATTCTGTTCACATCAAAACCAAAGGACCTTTTTCATCTGGGTTCAACCATCCATACCAGTGGGCTTCATGTAGCAGGTGTTATGTTTCAGTCTAAAGTGATTTCTGATCACCATGCTTCAATGTTTTACACATCCAAAGGCTCTCAGACTGGTCAAACTTTTGTATTCCCAGCTTTCTACAAACTGGTCCCGGCCTCTCTTCCAAAGGCTGCCATGAAAAGACACAATAACTCACATTTCATGTTTAAATGTCAAAATCACAAAGAATATGGTCCATTCATTTTCTCTCCCCTTTCCAAATTCTTTCCCCAACATTGGCACTTGTCTCTTTCTTATCCCCATTTCTTTCTCTATTTGTCTTTGCAGTAATCTCCACAGAATCGTTTAGCTCATAAAGTGATTCACTTTTTGTGATTTATTTCTTCAAATGAAAACCTGTTTGCATCTTGTGGATGTCTATTGTATGATGTTTATGCATGAAGTTAAAAGATAGATTAAACTTTTTCTATTCTATACATTTATCCAGAGGGAAGGTATCTTATAGTCGAATGAACTGTGTAAAAATGATGTCCATTGAGATCATCACCATCCAATAAAATGATGGGTCGTCGGGAGAGATAGTGGGGCATGGCAGTTCATCTGATGAATGACAGAAGGCAATGCCAAGAGAGTGAGACCCAGCAGAATTGGACATAACAACAATGGTGGGCCACACCTCTCCCCATCATTGTCTGTCATTATATTGGATGGTAATGATTCTACTGGAGATAGTTCTCTGTGGACCATTCGACTAGTATGGGCTAACCCCATGGACAATTTCTAAAAGGGTGCTGTTTGTAGAGAGCCCAGGCTCTAAACAATCAAAGTAGAGCATACCTTCATTGAAAATATTTGTGATAGCATTTAAAATATATTTTCATCTCTAATTATAAAATTTAAAGCTCCAAAAATAGAGCTATAAAAACTTGAAAATTGATCGTCCAAATGCATTACAAGATGCACTATTTACAAAACTTAAAATCCAGTTTTTCCAAAACTTAAAATCCATTTTTTTTCTCATGTCCATGCATCTTGATGTTGTGATGATCAATTTGAAGATATTTGCGCATCAAAACAACCTCTTCTAGTGAAATTTTTGAGGTGTGGTCTAATTTAATTGTTTAGAGCCACGGCCCTATTTAAACATTTTCCTTTCTAAAAACTAATTAGTTCTTGTATATCCAATGCCACACTACTCTCTCCATCATCGTGCATAATGACGCTAATGGACGACAGTTCTTCATAGACTATTCTACTAGCGTAGTCCCCCTTCTCCCCCACCCACCCAAGGGAAAAAGCCTTTACACTTGTGCATTACAACGGAATTCTTACACATACTCATAATTGAATTTATATAGTACTTCACTCATGACTCATCACCATCTAAAGTTCATCAAACGACTATGTATTAATAGTATTTCAATTTTAATATTTTTCTTTATAAATCTTATTTATCTTAAATTTAGAGCATGCGTTTTTCTATAGTACTTCACTCATAGCTCATCACCATCTAAAGTCCATCAAACAACTATGTATTAACAATATTTCAATTTCAATATTTTTTTAGAAATGCAATTTATCTGAAATTTAGGGCATGTGTATATAACCATACCGCAACAAAATAAAATATCAAACTAATAAGTTCTTGTATATCACAAAGATGGCATGCCACATTACTCTCTCCACAAAAAAGTAATTATAAAAAATAAAAAGATAAAAATACCCTTGAAATATTCATAGGAGTAATTTGGTCATTTTTATTATTTGAATTACTTTTTATATTTTATTTAAGTGTGCATCATTGAGAAGCGCCAACCCACAAAATTTGAGGTTAATTCGAGGAAAATTATAGATACCCCCAAAATAAACTTTGTAAACATCCTACCCCCAATACTTTCAGTATCACACCCTAGACACAAACACTGTTTTTTCTTATATTTATCTCCAATCAAAAAGTCAAAAAAAATTGAGATTAAAATGCCCTTCTTTTCTTTCTCTCCCTGCCCACCCCCTCTCTCTCTTTCTCTCTCTACTTGCCATCTCTCTACCCATCTTCTCTTTTTCTCAATGGTTTAAAAACCGGATCGGTGACCCGGATC